ACAACCAAAGACCCCAAAATGGATGGTTAGAATATACCAGAGCAAGAGATAGGTTGGGCGGAAGGGAAGGGTGAAAAATTCGAAATCTGTTTTTGAGCAATCATTAATAAACCTATTAGAATGTTTGGTTAATAACAGTTTCAATATGAGTTACAAAAAGCAGGCGGTAGCTCAGTGGCTAAGACACTGAACTTGTCGATTGAAAAGGTCGGCAGTTTGGCAGTTCGAATCTCTAGCGCCGCGTAATGGAGGGAGCTCCCGTTCCTTGTCCCAGCTTCTGCCAAACTAGCAGTTCGAAAGCACGTAAAAAATGCAAGTAGAAAAATAGGAACCACCTTTGGTGGGAAGGTAAGTGTTCTGTACGCCTTTGGTGTTGAGTTATGCCAGCCACATGACCACGGAGATGTACCTCACCAGCCTCTGTTTGCCCCTCCCCTCCCAGCCACTCCTCACCTGCCTGCCCGGGCTCCTTAGGGCCCCAACAGAAAGCAGTTGCTGGAGCTAAGCAGCCACCATGAGAAAGAGCTGGCAAAACAGTTCAGTTCAAATTGGTTCTGGCTGAGAAGGAGGCTCAGCAGAAGCACCTCACTGAGGACTAGGAGCATANGTCTTTAGCCTATTAAAAAGGGGAAGGTAACCCAGAAGGTATGTGGGTGAGTCAAACAAGAAAAGAAAGGAAGAAAATGAGAAAGTTGGAAATAATATCTGAGCAAGTGCAACAGCTACACAGGAGAATGAAGACCAACAGTCCTCAAGCCATGAGGACAAAAATCCATCTTGGCTTGATTCTTGTCTGGAGTTTGGCTTAGGAACTCAGCCTGGATACTCAGTAGGAACATTATTTAAGAGCAGTGGTATCTCTAGTCATCATATAGATTGACGTACAGAAATTCAATTTGGGGGGGTGGGAACGGCTCCAGAAAGGGTAATAATTAACTCCAGCAACTACTCAGATTCACAATTAGAGTGTAATGTTGAAAGCACAAGCATATTTTTGACAGAGAAATGGGAAAACACAGCTACATAATGAATAGCTGGTGATCCTTTCAAAAACAAATAAAACAATAATTAAAAATGGCTTACTGGAATACCCGTGCCTAACATATATGTCATTATGTTTTTTGTCTTCACAAAACAGAAAATTGGAAATTAGTATTATGAATTACCAGGAGGGAGGGAAATTTTGTACAGACTTTGATTTAGACTCCCTCTTCGGATGCTAAGAACAAAAGATAAAACTTGCCTGCCCCCTTCCCCAAAGTCATACTAATGCTATCTAATCAACAAAGATATTCACATTACATTGGAAAACCCTGTGAAAGTAAAACATTTATGTATTGCCTCTGTCTGCTGATTTCCATGCAAACAAATTGTACCATGATTTCCCCTTCAATGTTATGCATCTAGATGTCTTTCCTTATTAGATACTAACAGTACAATTTTCAGGTGTGGATCTTGCTCCCATCATTTGTTAAGCAACTAGGGATTAGCCTTGGTACCTGACTTTGAACCAATGCACTTTGTTTTGTAATCCATGNTTGCATTTTTACATGCTTTCGAACTGCTAGGTTGGCAGAAGCTGGGATAAGTAACGGGAGCTCACTCCATTACGTGGAGCTAAGGATTCGATCCGTTGAACTGCTGACCTTTCTGATCGACAAACTCAATGTCTTAGCCACTGAACCACCACCGTGTCCCTATTCTATGAATATTATGAGCTAATTTTGATCACTAGGTATTTGGCAATTCTATAATAAATAAAATAGTCAGGTTTTGATTAACAGATTTATCTGAATTTTAAATGTTCCCAAATCAGGAAACATTAAACCATGGCCTCATCCACACTTTTTTTTTTTTAGCTGAAATTGTTTTGTGCATTTTCTCCTCCTTGCTTTCTGGAGGAGGACAGGGTCAGGAGCAGGAGTTTCCAGACCATCAGTGACTTATAGGCTCATCTAATTGTTGCTTGGCAAGGAATCTCCAAGCCTTTTTCAGGTATCTGTTAATTCAGAAAGTCAAGAAGAAGGCAGCTTGGGTTTAAGCCCTTGAATGTAAAATAATCATTTTATGAGCAATCAACTGTTATGTATACTTTCTTTCTTGCCTTACAATATCCTAATGTAGTTGATCCTTGTCTGGAAATCTTCTGCCAAATCAGGCCCAAGTCTCAAACTAAGCCAAGAAGTGTCAGGAGACCTATGATCTACTGTCAAACCCAGACTAAGAAAGCGTGATAGGATTCAAATATGCAGTGAAGAAACAATGGGGACCAGAGTGAGAAAAGGGTGGGGTTGAAAGTTCCTCGTGCTTGAAAAAAGCAGCACCTGAAAATGAAGATTGGAGCCCTGCAGGCAGGCAAAATATCTGCCTTCCACCTTCCAAGACTAGACTCATCCTTCCATCCAAAGGGACATAAAAGTATTACAGTCCTGGAAACCTGAGAGAAGTGCCCCATTCCTCCATTTTGCTGAGAGAACTAGAATTACTTGCAGAAACTCACCTCNCGCGTGGAGGTAATTGGCAGTAGGCGGTCTCTCAAGTTTCCAACAGAAAGTCACTTTCTCGCTCCCACCTCCACTTGTTTTTAACTGATGGGAGAGGAATCTGACCACTGGAAGCTGCCCAAGTCCATTCCAACCACCCCGACTTCCCATTTGGCTTTCAATACAATCCACTACGGGAGTTTGTGTTTACTTTCCCCCTGGAAACACCAGTTCCCAATATCTCTTTGAAGGGCCAGTCCTCAGGAATAAGCTAATGGACCCTAATCAAGAAGTTCCATTACAGCCCCTGACTGGTATGTTCCTAGCAGGAACTTTAGAAGTCTGGACTAATGAAATGAACCTCCGAGCCCGTGCCTTCTCCATGAACATGGGTGTATGTGTAGGAGAAAATTGAGTTTTCTTTCTATGTGGGAGAAATGCCTATCTGTGCTTGCTCACTAATTGGACTGGCACATGCACCCTAGTACACCTCCTCCCCAAAATGGTGGGGGGCGTAAGTGGTGAAAAGGCCCTCCCTGTACCCTTCATGGGACATGTTCAGAAAAGAATGCTGCTCCTAATTCCACTATTAGCAACCTTGGGAATAGGGACAGCAGTTGGAATGGGTGTAGGTGGAATAACCCATTCCATTACACAGTTCAGGCAACTGTTGGAAGAATTCCAAGAAAGCCTGAACCAAATTGCTGGCACCTTGGTTGAAGTCCAGGACCATATAGATTCCTTGGCAGCCATGTTACAGAACCGGCATGCCATAGATCTTTTAACTGCTGAAAAGGGTAGGCTATGTGTATTCCTGGGAGAAGATTGTTGTTTCTATATGAATAGATCAGGAACAGTTCGGGGGGTGGTCCAAGAACTACGAGATCAAGCTTCCTCTATTGGTCAAAAAGTACAAGGAACAGATCTTGGCTACTGGGAACAGGTTGGATCAAGCAAATGCTATTTCTTTTATTATGTGGAATAGCAAGTTTAGCCTTCCTCCCTTGCATAATACTCTTGCTTAAACAACTCGTTATGAGGTCTGTAAAAGAAATACGGGCTGAAAAGGAGTTAATGTTAACTGAAAGCCTAATCCCATATACCTTCAAGGAAGATGAAGTTTCAGATACTAGCTCGTATATTCAAATTGCACTCTTAGAAGTGGAGAAAGTAATTCCGGAAGATAAGCTCTAAGATGTGTATCACTTGTATCCTTGCTTTTTTGCTATTCTGTATCCTGCATGCTTATATTGTTAATCTAATAGGCTAGACTCAATTGGAGGTATTAATAGAGTCTAGAAGGGGGGGATAAAGAAGAATAAAATATGAATTAAAATATAAGAATGAAGACGTGGCATAAAAGGGACAGTTAGAAACTTGCTTAAGGGAACAGGGAAATGTCATCAGTCTCTAACCACAAGATGTTCTGGCCAACTTTCCTATGTCAAAAGTCCAAACCACAAGGTTCAAATAAAGTTCGTTAATGACATATAGTCCATACCTGTAACAAAAGGAGAAGTAAGATCCCCATCTACTTTTAAAGCTTTCCCCCCAAAATAATAAATAAGAAATGAGTTAAGTATTTCCATATTGCGCTGCTTTTGAGAATGCATAAGAACGCATGCTTCCACAATGAAGGTTGTTCAGAATTTGCAATGTTAGCATGTGCTAGCTTTCTGAACCTCGCAGCCAAATAAACTTTTCCTGTATCCTGAGATGTCTAAAGCCTGTCATTTTCTGCAACAAGAAGTCCCCCCTCCCCCAATTTTCCCCAAGGCTTCACAACCGAAAGGTGAAAACATCTGAACGTTTCCCCTCCATACACACAGACACATTTCTTTGACTAATCTCCTCATAAAACCTCCTCCGGAAGAACCCAGGAACTTTCTGCAGTATCAGCAGCCTATTACTGAGCAGTGTCGAGCCATTTGTTCAGCCTAGGAGATATATTTTAGACTTTTTTTGCACTTTTCGGAATTACCAGCATTAGCTGATTAACCATCGGGGAACTCTTCAAGTCCAAGAAGCTTCAGTAACCTGCCAAATGCCAAAAGCTCTTGGACACAGCTGCTGAAAAAGCACGTGATAACCTCCTGTTTCTATCTATGTCTGACCTGTCGAAGTCCCTTCTCTCCCGTCATCCCTGCAAATCAAGGCTCCGCCAGGCATATCCTCCTCCACCCACGAACATACGGAAGCGCTCAAATACCTAGTATACAGAGCCACTTAATGTGCAAGTCACGCCGTGTGCAGAGGCCAGAAGGATGAAGTACTAATAGGGGACAGTCAGTCAGATGCAGCCTGGACTCACAAGGCCAAAGGTTAGCGTATGTATTCGAAAACGGGAAGGGGGCAACTGAGTCTCCAAAGTTCGGGCTAAAAGTTACTTTTAGCTTTGGCAGCCGGCTTTGGTTGACAGGCAACCAGTTAGCCCAGCGGCAACAGCCCGGACAACCTCAGCAAGAGAGCGCAGGCCCCGCCTCCCCTGTGCTTTGAGGCGGTCCCGGCTATTGCTCCCACGCCGCCCCTAAGCTCAGCAGCTCGCGAGTGTAACAAGTTGAGCTATGTCGTAGCTGCTGGCCCTGAAGGCTGGTTGTCTGGGGCACTGTCCTTGTCCGCAAGCGGGGGATGTCTTGGAGCCTTCCAAGGGCAATCGCGAAGAAGGCCATTGCCGGAGCGAGAGTGGAGGAAAGCAGAAACACTCGCCGACCTTGCGGGAGAAGAGCACTGCGAAAACCCAAGGTGGCCGAGGTGTTGGGTCTCTTCCTCTTCTTCCCTCCTCCTTGACTTTGCAAAAGGCGGCGAGGTTGAGAAATCCACTGGCGGAGGTCGGAAAGGAAAAGGCCCACGTGGGAGGTGGGCGACGACCTACTAGAAAAGGAACTGCGTTGCCTCCCGGAACTAGGATGCTCCTCGGCAAGATGCTACTGTAGGAAGAGCTTTTTGCTTGGGACCGCAGCGCTGCAGAGGCTCTGGAGAGACTTGGGCGACTGGAAGCTTCACCAGCCTGACCGAAACAAGGAGGACGAGAAAGGCTCTCTTCCGTGTAAAGGGGGGTGGGGAGCACGGCTTTTGTTACTGGCCTTTCATCGTGCGAGCGTGGCTGCGTGTCTGTGTAGCATATTTTCAACTTTCCCCACCCCTTGGCTGCTGAAGTACCTTCGGAAGCCAGAGTTACTCCAGCATTGCAACTCTGATTTTAAACAGTGTTTACTGTTCACCCTCCCGTGATGTTGCCAGGGTTTTCTGAAAGGCGCTTTGCCATTTGTCCTCTTTCTTCAGAACTTCTCTGCAGACTTCTCTCAACCTGAGGGCCAAGCAGTCTCTGCTTGAAAGTCGCTTGTCCTGTTTGAGCTTGAAAACAATCCACTTTGATTATTGCAAGATAAAAGAAGAAAAGATGGGTGGTAACCTTGGCTGCCACCGCTCCATACCTAGAGACCCTTCGGATCTTTGCCATAGCCGTAAATTCAGCGCTGCATGCAATTTCAGCAATATCCTTGTGAACCAGGAGAGGCTAAATATTAACACAGCCACAGAAGAGGAGCTCATGACTCTTCCTGGGGTCACCAGGTTGGTAGCCCAAAACATTGTAGAATATCGTGAGTATATTGGTGGCTTCAAGAAAGTTGAAGACTTGGCCTTGGTGAGTGGAATTGGAGCTGCCAAGCTGGAGCAGGTGAAATTTGAGATCTGTGTGAGCAGCAAAGGAAATTCTGCACAACATTCACCCAACTCTTTAAGGAAAGACCAGAATCTGGATCACCTTTCAGCTATTAAAATCAACATTAACACAGCTACACCTGCTCAGCTCATGAGCATCCGTGGGATCACAGAAAAGATTGTCAACAGCATTGTAGAATACCGCAGAGAGCATGGGCCCTTCAAAAGTATTGAGGACTTGCTTAAGATGAACTGTATCAACTCTTCATTCTTTGACAAAATCCGACATCAGATCTTTGCAGAACGATCAAGACCCCCTTCCACAAATACGAATAGTGGCCTTAATTTCACTGTCAAACCTCACCCAAGCCCCACATCCCTGAGCCTCCAGAGTGAGGATTTGGATTTTCCTCCTGGAGGGCCAACACAGATAATCTCCACACGGCCCACAGTGGAAATTTTTGGTGGGGTGCGAGATGGGCGACCTGTGCTGAGAGTGGCCACTTGGAATCTGCAAAGCTGCTCTGCTGAAAAAGCCAACAATCCTGGTGTGCGAGAGGTTGTATGCATGACTTTGTTGGAGAACAGGTATGGCAGAAGATTGAGGAATATTTATTTTTGTTTGTTTCTCTTCTGTTGCTTCCTTATATCCTGCATGTCCTTCCTAATAGTAAAACAGTGCCCAACATTTTATTGGTATTGATATATAATTATTCATCGGGCTTGAGAGTCAGTTTGGCATCAAGTTAGAAATTGGGAGACCTCTACTCTCTTTTTCTACTCTCTTTTTAGGCACAAAGCGAGCTGAATAATCTTGGGCCAGTAACTTTCTCACAACTATAGAAAGGAGACAATAGCAAACTACTTCTGAAAAACTTTGCTAAGAAATTTCAGAGACCTGAAAGGTATACTTGATGAATCAGACATGATTGAATAGCAAAAAAAAATAAAAAAAATCAGTGTGATAATTCATGGCTTACTTATGAGTTTACCAAGTCATTATATTTTTTAGGGTGATGTTTTTAGCCTGGTATTACAGTTTTATTATTTTGGTTACAAAATGACAGGAAATCATACTATCAGTTTTCAACAACTGTGATCCAACATGGCTCTGCACTTCAGGGCACACATTCAGATGGCCTACTCTTGGATTAAACTAACAAATATATAACTGAGGCGATGAATGCAATCCCTTTTAATCTGTAAACCACATATAAATGTTTCAAGTTTAAAAGAGCCACTATGTCATGTACAACATTGCTGAACAATTGCTTTATGACATTTGGTCTACATTAATATTTTTTTCTAAACAGAAAATATGTTTGTTTTAGCTTACTGCGTAAAGCCAGACATTAACTCTGTCAACGTATAATGCAGCCAAGGCTTTCAGCCTGTTGGTATAATGTAAACATTGTGGAAATATGCAAGATTCTATTCAGTGAATTGCTTAATGGACCTATATCTCACTTATGCAATGCTGTATGTAGATAAAGAGGACTATTTTTGGTGCATTTTATAGAAGGTTCTTTTTATGACAGTTTTAATTGTTCCTGGCATAAATTGCAGAGTAATTGTAGATTGTATTTCATATTTTCCTGCGTTTACTTTGTATTTTAATGGCTCTTTTCTAGATTATTTTTCTTGATGTTTTACCTTTTATTTATTTTTGATCTGTAGATTGCAGTTTGAAACAGAGCACCACAAAATTAAAGCTGTGTATGTATGTATGTATGTATGTATGTATGTATGTATGTATGTATGTATGTATAATGAGTTTAATTGGTAATCAAAAACTCTCATATTCTGACAGCTTTATAGATATGTTAATGCAGTTCTTGCAACAATATGCAAGTGGGGTTCTTCCTTCCTTTTTTCCTTCCTTTCTATAGCAATCTATTTACATGTCTGGTATTTCCTGATAGCTTCCATTAACTATTTGCCAAATCTGACTCAGTTTAACTTTTTGATATTAACCAAGTTGACTCAGCATGACTTTGTCCTAGTAGCATGCAATAACGAAATGTGGTAATGCCAGTTTAAAGGATACTATAGTGTCCCTGGAAGTTCAAGTTTCCTGTATTATTATTATTTTTATTATTGCAAGGAGTCATAGTTGGATCAATAGCATTTGAGGAGATGTGAGGAGGTTGAAATTCTACCTCACCTTAGCCCTTAATATAGGTTATGGCTTTTAATGTTACTGGAGCACACTGTTCTGAAGTCAGCTTGAATATGAGTTATTAGAGATTATGACATAACAGATGTATTGTGGAGTGCAAAGTGTATAGGCTTCTTCATCTTGATACATTTAAGGATGAACTTAATATGGTAATCACCATGAAAAGCCTCTGTAAAGAATTCATTCGTTTAAGTATTTATGATCCCTGAATATAGATTAAAAAAACATTAGGCAATAGCATTTTTTTGCATATTAGTACTCCATAATCAGGTGACTTTGCTGTTATAAAAACTACACACACAACTACACTTGCTTGTAATGCCAGCATAATTCAGTGTCTATACCATAGATGAGGATCTTCTGCATACATATTCATGCTTAAGTCAATTTTAAGGATGTATCTACACAAATATAATTTAAATCCACTTAGCCACATTCTAGGTCACATGCAGAGTTTGGAATGATCAATATTGCTAAATAAAATATGATGCTCAGGAAGGGAAACAAGTCTGACAGGCATTGGTATGATTATTAACAATGCTAAAATAATTTGTCTTAGTCCTTAAAAATATTTTTCAGATTCAATGCTACAAAAATCCAAGCTTATTGTAGTTTATTGTTCCAGTTTTTATCTGAAAAAATATGTATAAAGAGTTTTATGGAATATATAAGTAGCAGTATTCTTTAATGGACAATAGTTTTGATATTATTATACATAAAGTATACTTGCTGTGGTTATACTTGCGCTGTAACAAGTAATTGGCATAGTTTTTATTCACATATCAGTAGTGCGGAGATTGAACTTCCTTTAGTGTACCATATTACAGGTTTTTTTTTTAAAATATTACAAATTCCAAGTATGATGGAACAATGAGAAGTATCTCTGAATTGAGCAATTTGTGCTTTTGGAGCTGAAGCTTTTGCTGCAATTCTGTTTTGCAACATCATTTAACATGTTAGCAAAAACTGCATTTTGCAGGACACATACATAGCTTTGTGAATTTTCATAGAAGCAAAACAAACCATTTATTTGTTTATGTAGGGAATTCATTTGCTGTCCATCTCATATCCAATGATCACTGCCATACTGTTGCTGATCTATCTTAGAAGTGAATTCATTTGTTTTTGTATTTATATTCTTCATATTCCATTCTATTCCAAAGATGCTGAGCAACTAAAATCAAAATTTAAAACCTGTTCACTGGCATCCTTCAGTCTCTGAAGACTATGGTATTGTGCTCTTGAAAGAGTTCCTAAAACAGCATCTGGTATGACTAAAAAGGCCACTTCGAGAGTGGCAATCCCTTCCACACTGAAGGCAGATACATTCTGTCCCCTGCCCAGCCCCCAGATTTCACTGGTTCCAGGACTGCCTCTTTGCCTCAGCTTGCTGAACAAGTGTCTCTTTGAATTGGAGAAGGCCATGCTGCATCTTTAGCCTCTAAGCCAAACGATCAGAGGCCAAGGTTTCCCAGTTGTTAATGTCCATTCCCAAGGCCTTTAAATCCCTCTTGCAGATATCCTTGTATCACAGCTGTGGTCTCCCTCGGGGGCACTTTCCATGCACTAATTCTCCATACAGGAGATCTTTCGGGATATGACCATCAGCCATTCTCTCAACATGTCCAAGCCAACATAGATGTCACTGTTTTAATAGTGTATACATGCTAGAAATTCCAGCTTTCAGGTCTCTGTCGCACATGTGGGGGGTGGAGAGATACATGTGCAAGCCTGGGAGTGAGGTGTACATGGGTGCATGCACAGAGGCTGGGGCACACGGGGGGTTACTCATGAAGGAGGCAAGGCACATGCAGATTGTTACATGTGCATGCACGGGTGATGGGGGGGAAGGGGGTCATGTGCGCATGCTTTGGGTGCACATGGGGAAACATCAGAGGTGGGTTCCTACTGGTTTGAACTGGTTCGGCTAAACCGATAGTGGCATGCTGGCCTAGGTCACAGAACCATCAGTGACCCAGGCTGGCCACGCCCCAAACTGGTTCCCTCAATTGCCACTGCTGTTGCCGGCATGTTTTTTGGCTGGAAAAGGGGGCAGAGAGAAACAGTCCTGTTGCCAAGGTACGCAACAGGGAGGGAAAGAAATTTCACTTTCAGCCTCCTGTTGCAGCGCAAGGCTTTGGGTGAAGGCGGTAGGGAGGTTGAGGGGAGGGAGGCAGCAGGTTGAGGGGAGGGTGACAGCAGCGGTTGTTTCTCCCTGCTCCTCCTCAGCATGTGTTCAAAGGCCATTGAGTGAAAAGGAGGGCAAAAAACAAAGCAGGGGGGAGGGGGCAGGGCAACCCAGGCACGTGTGCCTCTCGGGCTTTGCCTGTATATATTGCCTCTAAAGTTAAGGGGAGAAGAAAAGGCAATCTGTCAGGACAAGCCAAGCAGCTGCTGTTCTGGGAAGACGTGCACCATTTAGTCACTTATGCTTCCCCTCCATTAAAGCCAGTGCCGGGAAAGAAAAGAGGGGAAAGTCTCAAGGGGAATGGCAAGCTTGTGAGGGAGGGGGAAAGAAGAGAGTGTGATCACAACAAGAGGGATGGAAAAGAGGAAGGGGCAGTTGTGATGTTGGCTCTGTCCTCTATCAGGCTTGCACGGGCCCACACACACACACACAAAAGGGGGAGAGAAAGAGAGAAAGAGGAAGAAAGATGAGAGAGAAAGGGGAGAAAGAGGGATGAGAAACAGGAAGAGAAAATGGAAGAGAGAGAGATGAGAGACAGAGAAATAGAGGAAGAGAGATGGTCCATAGAAAGAGAGGGAGAAAGAGATGAAAGGGAGAAAGGGGGGAGAAATAGAGATGAGAAAAAGAAAGAGGGAGAAAGAAAGAGGGAGATGAGAGGCAGAGAAAGGGAGGGAGAAAGAGATGAGAGAGAGAGGTGAAAAAAAGAGAGGGATAAAAAAGAGATAGAGGGAGAAATAAAGAAATAGAGAGGGGGACCTGTGGTCATTAAGCAAACACTGTAGTTGTTAAACAAGTCCATTTTCCCCAATGGACATTTTTAACCAGAAACCAGAAGGAATTGTTGCAAGCTGGCAAAAAACCATAGAAAGCCTCAGTCACATGACTGTGGGATGTTGTAACTGGTCCTAAATGAGTGTGTGCACGTGCGTGCGTGTGTGTGCATGACTGTCAAAACTCCAAAACAGGTCAAGTAGGTCTGGGGAGGTCAGTCGTAAATTTGCTAAGCAACTGGCCATTAAGTGAGGATCACTTATATTTGGCTTGCCTTAAGGGTTCAGAGCTGTATGGAATAAAGAAAAAAGGAAGGAAGGAAGGAGACAGAGGGAAGAAGGGAGGGAAAAGTGAATGACATATAATTGCATGAATGGATGGATGGATGGATAGATACATGATGGGAGAGAGGAAGAAAGAGAGAGAGAGAGAGAAAAGGAGAGGAAGGAAGGACCACAATCTCCTGGCACTAGAAGTGGCTTCAGAAGATGCTTTGAAGCAGCATAACTGTTTCAGGGCTGGAAGAGATCTCGGAGGTCATCTAGTCCAACCCCCTGCTCCAGCAGAAGATCCTTACAGAATCATAGAATAGCAGGGTTAGAAGAGACCTTGGAGACCATCTAGCCTAATCCCCTGCTCCAACAGGAAACCTTATATTGTCTGGATTATTTTGGTGCCTCTAACAGAGGAAAATTGCCAGAAAGGAGGAGTTTACTAGTACAAGGCTGCCATTCAGAGGAAGGCACAGGTAGTCCTTGATGTATGACCACAATTGAGCCCAACATTTTGGTTGCTAAGCAAGAGCATTGTTAAGTAAGTTTCACCACATTTTACTCAATCCTTGACATCTCCTGGCTCTAACAGTCATGTGCAGGCTAGGAAAGAACATCTGTAGGTATGTGTAATGTTCTTTTTTAATTTTTTTAAATTTATTTTCAAAACAAACATACAACTCCTCCTTCTTTACATATTGTAGAAAGTGTATCAGCTGGTTACAAAAGGCTTTTGTGCATCTCTTCCACCGTCATCAAGTATAATTCATATTAATTCAGATATATCTTAACTCAAACATTTACTATATTAACATCATCATGCCTCCACTTTTATTTGACTATAGTTATTTAAACGTCCTTCATCCTTAAATATACCAAGATTTAATAC